CCCCCCCGCTGTTGTCTTCTCTTCTGACCAAATAAGCTCTGTTTCCTCAGCCTCTCCTCAGAAGTCATGGGCCCCAGCCCGCTAACCACTTTCATTGCCCTCCTCTGGATTCTCTACAACTTGTCTACATCCTTTCTGAGGAGCCCAAAACGGGACACCATACTCCAGACGTGTCCTCACCGATGCAGAATAGAGGGGAATAATCACTTCCCTTGATCTCATAGCAACACCCCTACTAATGCAGCCCAGTATCTGTTTGCCTCTTTGGCAACAAGGGCACATTGACTCATTCAACTTATTTTCCACTGTAACCACCAAGTCCTCTTCTGTAGAGCTGCTACTTGGCCAGTTGGTTCCAAGCCTGTAGCAGTGAATGGGATTAGTAAAGGACTTTGAATGTTTAAATATACAACTAAATATTCTTCTCATCTCTGCCATTTGAGGGTTTTGTCTGCAGCTGAGATGTCATTCTTCAAGAATTTTTCTAAAGGTTTTGCAGTTGAGGGTATCAAGACCAAACACTTTGGAATGGAGGGGAAAGTAGGCAAAAAACTTCAAGGGAGGTATTTCTGAATCGGTATAGTGAAAAGCAAACAAGCAACCTGTTCCCTTCACCTCAAAGATCCAGATATGATCTTGGCTTGATACTTCTCTTTAATCACATTACCCAAATATGCAGATCCAAGTTGAGTTTTTCAGGTTGACTGGGTTATCTTGTATACCTCAGCATCCATGTGAAGGCAGCTAGGCATACAAAATGGGATGAGCACGTATCGTGGTTGCCCAACTGGATGCTGTAGTTAAGTCCAGATGACTAATTTGGCCTTGTAAGTCAACTTCATACCCCAGTTATATAAGGAATTCAGCACTATGAGGGTAGGGATTTTGGACTTTATACTCCAGGCCAACTTTAATTATTTCAATAGCTAGTATAGAATTTCATCAAGGGCCTTAGTGCTCTGCAAAATAGCATGCCCTGGAGCAGCCATGGAGTGACTAAATATCTTATCCATTCCTTCACAGAGGCTAACTGAGGCAGAGGCTACTTTCTAAATGGAAGCATGCATTAAGTTAATGACAGGACTGGGAAGTGAACCCAGGAGTTCATTTCCTGGTCCTACCTGGTCTTAACCATTAGGCAGCTTTTCACTTCTATGAGTGGTAGAAATGAAACATGACTGAGGATCCCAAGCAGGTGTTTCTGCAGCTATAAATTCCTTGAGTTGCTTGTTGAGCACCTCCCTTTTTGAATGCAAGGAAAATGCCCCTCAGACATCCTGGCATGGTGCTTAATCAACCTGTGCTGCCCTATTGCAGGCTGCCTTGTGGCACGATGTTGTCCGTGAACTGCAGAAGGGAGTGAAGCTGCGCAAGGCCACAGAACAGCCACAGCATAACAGTCCTCGAAAAGAGTCTGCCCGCTCCCCCTTTGAGATGCTGGCAGATGACATCCGACACAAAAGGCATACTCTCCAGAAGGTGAAGGTGAGCTGCAGTAGTATAGGTAGAGCTATGATTTTGAAAAGAGGGATTGAGATGATGTGGTATACCATCACATATAACACCATACATTTTTTTTTTCTCCAGCTAAAAGGAAACTAGAAGCTTTACGAATGTACTAAGGGTCCAAGGCTATATTATTCAGTTTTAAGATCAAAGGAAAAAGCAATAAAGTTATTGGAATATGCATTAGTTTCCTACATCACATATTATGTATTTAAAAAAAAAATCACAACCAACTAGACATGGATGTCATTCCATTAGTTCTTTAGCCATCAAAATTAAATGTATGAATCTTTCAGATTCATAGAACAATCTCACTTTCTTGAGCATCTTGACAGTGCATCCAGTACTTCACTGAAAGTTAATTCTGCACCTGAGTTAATGCTCACCTGAGTTAATGTTTCCACACCTGAATTGATGTTTTTAGCTGGAGTTAAAACCAGTATGCAGGGCTGTGAAATAGGAGCTACGTTATCAGAAGTAGCTAACAGCAGAATTGCAGCAGAAAGGATAGCTAGATTAGTGGATCATTGAAAGGGGAGAGAGTATTAACACCTGTGGAATGAAGAGTTTAGATGGAATCGGGGAGATTATGCTGAGCCATTAAGTCACTGCTACCTGAATAGAAATGCTACTGCTGCTGCCAGGCATTTGGTTTTAAACTTTGGGTGGAGCAGGGATCAAAGAGGAGTGCAACTGCTCCACTGCACCTCTTGGATCCACCCCTGGGCAGTAGTCAGGGAGTCAAGTTTGGAGTCTTCTCCTCTAGGTAGCTTGTAACTGCCAAATTTTAATTTAAACCAAATCTACATCCTGTAATTTTCTTCAGGATCTTCTAGGCTCTGAGTATGGGCTAGAGCTCACCTTGAGCTGGAACTTAGTGTATGACCACCTCACTCACTCACTCACTCACTCATTTCAGTGTCAAGAACTTAAACTCGATGCTCCTGAAAGCATTCTAAGTTACTCCATGCAAAGCTGCTTGATGAAACTATCTTTTGCCCACTTTTTCCTTTCATCTCAAACACAAGCCTGTGCGCCAACAGGCTCTTTATGCATCTGATCTCTTTTGAGAAAACGAGGATGCTGCCAATGGTAGTTGTGCATATAAAGTATGTTTCCCTTTGGATCAGTAAAAGCACTTGGTCTTTGTCTGTCTCAAGCAGCAAACACCACACAGCACTCCCTGAATGGGAATTTGGGAAAACTGAGGAGAGTGGAATAAACTCCCAGAGACTCCTGTTGTGCTGATTCAGTCCTTAGTGGCTTCCAAGGCTGCTCATTGTTGGCAAAGATGACTGAGTTCCTTTGGTCTGCAGTGCCACTTGCATTCCGCAGAGTTAGTTAGCAATGATGGTAGGTTTTAAAGGCTGGAATGAGGTGGTATGGCATTGCAGGGGGCACTGAAAGCAGACTCTCCATCTTTTTGGCAAAAGATAAGAAGCAAGTTTGTTTGCAATAAAGAAGAAGGCTTTTCACTCTTTTTAGTGTGGTGTACCATATTTAAAACATCAGCTTTTCTGCCCCTTATTTGCTCATAAAATGAAAGAGATTAACATCCCTGACTGAGCCAGACATGAAGACCCTTACTCCAAGTTCCTTCTAGTCTCTCCCCTTTAAACACTGGGTCTTATTCTGGACTATAACAGAGTTCTACTGTTTAGCCTGGAAAGTTGTAATCTGGAGAAGGAGCCTGAATCCAGCCAGCCCTTCATGCACAGCTTGAAGTGATCAGATGGCACAGTGATGTGGGAACCAAAGAAAGTACTTTGAAAACACTGGTTCTCAACAGTGGGCCACAGAGGTGCTCAAAGTGATCTGAAAGGGTGGGTGTTGGGGGCAGGGTGAGATGCTTTCAGGGGTGTTAGAGTCTGAAGTGTCAGCTGATAAATATTTCCACTGAGGCAGGCAGGATCACTCTGAGATGCCTTGCTACTCTTGTGCCTCCCAAACAAGAAGCAGTTCAGCCATCTTAAAGTGATATTGCAGGCAGACTAATTATCATGTGCTGAGGCAGAACTAATTAGTGAAGGACTGCACCCAGCCTAAAGTAGCCATACTGCTTCCTGCTTAAAGCTGAATGCTGAGCTAGCTGCCTTGCTCCTCTGCTTCTGGTTCCAGAGGTCACAAGGATCTTTTTGCAGTTGTTGGGTGGGGCATGGGATCAAAAATGTTGAGAAGCAATGTTGTGGACTATGCATTGTGGGGACTAGTAATTGGTAGGTGATGGGTCTTGATGTGCAACAGTTAGGGATGATGATGCACTAAAATACAGGTCCACCGTACAGGAGAAAGCTATAATCTATAGTGACTGAATGAACTGACCCAGGGTTCTCCAGCCATTGCCTGTGGGCTACTTGCAATCAGCAGAATTCAGTCCAGAAATATTTCACTGTGACAAAAGTAGGCACTAAGCATTGATACCTCCTGTTAGCTACTGCTCTATCCTCCATTCACTCCTGGTATCTGGAGGCTGCTTTGATCTATTCAATTCAGATATGCCACTCTGAATTTGCAAGGCTGTCCACATCTGTCTCTATCCCACTGTGGTCAGGTTGGCAAACTGAAGGTATAACCAACAGAGGAGGGTCATTGTCAGACTGAGTTATTTAGGGATATACATGGTGTCCTTCCTCACTGCCTCGGCATCCTAGTACTCAGTAGTCCTACCTGCAAGGACAGGTGAATAATATGGAAACATAAAACCCACTGCATTAAAAATTTGGGTTTTATCTTATTTCTGATATCCTCTTCTCATGTCCACACTGGGGTGTTTGCATTGAAGTTAGTAGAGGAAGTGTCCATGCGAGAAGATCCGTATCTTGGCATTCTCCAATGTGAACACTTGACAAAACCCTGAACTGAGTTAGTGCTGTGCTCACCAGCTGTTTCATTTGTAGTTCATCTGTTCAGGAGTTTCTTTTGACTGAGCTGTAAGTGGAGCCATTCTTAGCTTATTGGGCGTGGAAAATGTGCTGAGCTCTGGTTTGCAGCATCCCTTTGGACTGTAATGCAACAATGGTGTCAGGATACATGTCACTTCATAAAACTGCCTGCAGACAGAAAGCCTTCTGGGTTGCTTCTGGGAACCCCTGAAAAGACCCTGTGGAGACTTAAGATTTATGAATAAGCCTCATCAAATTTCTTTTAACACCTTTGATCTTCCTCCTCTTTAAAAAAACAAAACTCCTTGTTTAATCTCACCCCTTGAGCTAAACACTATCTAAAAAAGCCATGAGTGGCCTGTATGGTATTTGGCATGGGATTGGAACTGTTTCCCAATCTCATTTATTTCTGGGGATAAGAAGCCAAGTGAGAAGAAAATGAGCTTTCATCACTTAAATCTCCTTCCTTGCCCTTTCAGATCAACAGTGAGCAAAAGATCAGGAGCTCTGAAGAAAACATAATCCCTCTAAAGCCACCTTTAAAGCCAGTAAGTGACTTAGGATCACAAATAAAGATAAGGAATAAGCAGAAGGATTTCTAAATCAACCAAACTGGTTAAAGCACCACCAACTTAACTACCATTTCAACTTGGGAATGGATAGAATGGCACTTTTCTTCTCTAAGCCAAAATAAAATAGTGGCTAGCCCCAAAAGCCCCTGTTACATGGCAGAAAGAAAGCTACTTAAAATAGTAAAAATGATTGTGGGAGAAGGGAAAGAAGAGAAGACTGCAATAATCCTCCTGTTGTGACTCAAAAGGCTCCTAAAATGTTTCTGTACAACCTTGTTGAGCTCTTCTTAGAGCTGCCAACTTGTGTTGCAAAGGCAAGTTGTCCACAGGAAGGATCCTCATTGGTCAGGTGAGCTCTGATTGATTGATTTCCCAGTGTTGTACTGGAATTGGTATGTGAAATGCAGAGGTGGTATGTACTAAGAATTCTTGGAGGACAGGGGTTCTGCCTGGGTGTGAAGGATATATAGTAATGTACTTGACTTGGCAGAAGGAGGCTTGTTTGGAGCTCCTGGATTCCTCACTTTAATTGCTTTTCTTAGCCCTGTTCCTTGCATTGCAGGTGGTAGAGAGAAAACTGAAGGACCGTTTCCCGCAGGAACCTAGTCAGCATGAGCTGCTCATGATGGAAATAAAACAGCCACACCAGCTTCGGCCATCTCCCACAGCAAGAAATGGAAGTAGGCCCAAAGGTACTACATGGGCACTAGGTCTACAAAGCAGCTTGACTCCTAACAAACCAGCATCAGTTGTGGTGTATGAGTTCAGGGTTTGAGGTGGATGAAGTAAAGGACATGAATGAGTGGCTTTGGCTCCATTGTCAGGTGCACCAGCATGCCACTGTGCAGATGCCTTTAGCTCATGTTACGTGCTAAGGCCAGCTGATTTGGTTGGGGTACCACATCTTTTAGGAGGAAAGTCAGAACATGCATATTCTGCGACTGCAGGCAGCAGATAAGCTATTGCCCATGAATGGTATCTGTGCTGCACCAGAGTGCTCTCATGATGACTAAACTGTAGAGATGCAGGGAGTCTTTTGTGGGGTGGGAGGCAATGCATCTTGTGGCTAGAGTTAAGGAACCAGAGAATGGTTAAGGCTATTGGATGAGTCCTAGCTAATGAGGAGGAGGAAGAGCAGCTGACTGCCAATATTGCACATGTCCTTCAACTTCTGCTGGTCTGGGTTGGGCCTGAACACACACTTTTCCTACCTCCCCCACTCTGCTTGCCAAACAGTCCAGCTTTCTTGCACTGAAACTTGTTTCCGTGTCTTGTTTTGTTTTTTACAGATGCTTCTGTGACACTAAACATCTTTAATTCTCCTTGTGACAGTGGTTTATCTGTTCAAAATGCCAGTACAGGACTTCATGCTCACAAAGCTGAAAACTGGCTGCTGGGTTCTGACCTGCTGGGCCAAGAATTTCAGGTAAGTCTTGAAATGAAACCACAATTTAGAGAGGGTGAAGTGATTCAGGCATCACACTGCAGGTGCATGCACCCTGAAACTTCAGGTTCAAATCTTGAGGCCTTTCTTCCTTCCCAGATGAAGGAATTTAGTTCATTGGAGTCCTCTTGGCTACAGAATTCCAAGCCGTGCTTGACATCACTTTTATAGGGTAGCTGAACTGTAGTCCTTCCTGCTTTTTAAGCAGAGATCTCATAGACTCTCTTGCATGAGTAGGGGCTTCCTTGGCCAAAATTGGAAAATCTTTCTTCTGTTCTCTTCCTTTCACTTGGTCACTATTCTCCATTCTAGAAGTGTTTGCATTTCCTATCACATGGAGTTTATAGTAAAACGGACTGAATAATTTTCTTTAAGTAACTAACTAAACCAATTAAGTTAGTTTCTTCTGCCTGCGGAGCATCTAAGCAAGCACTTTATTTTCAACACATTTTAAATTACTTTTTCTAAACTCATTGGATTTATCACAATTGGTTTAAACATTTGACATGTAAAATTCAAGCTGTATTTAGTCAGTAACCACCTGGAACAAAAATAAAGCTTTAATGTGTAATCGCTTCTGGCACGTACTCTGGCCTGCAAACTGGAAAATTTTCTGTAGGCATCTGTGCTTGAAATACTAATAAGTGTTTGCAGAGCTCCAGTGTAGAGTTGGTAGAGCTCTTTTTGGTTCACTAAGAATTTAAGAAATCATAGGGGAGACTGTTAGAATTGTTAGTGCTGGAATGACATTTTCTCAGTTACTTCATAAGAGCCCGAGTTGTCTCATTCCTTAGCAGGTCTTAGTACACATGCTAATCTCTTCAAATCTGGATTATGCCAAGGTAATTTAACCAAGTAAGGCATGCCTGGGGACACATTTCTGTGCTAGGTATAAAAAAAATTTCATTTATTGTCCACAGGAAGGAGGTTGGCCATTGGAAAATGCCCAGAGAGTGACCTCAGAAAGGTCATCGTCACAGAATTGCAACAGCAGAGGTCAGTGTCTCCTTTGTCACTGCGATCTGAGTGCTGGGGTTAGTGGGTATCTACTTTCCCATGACCATCCTCTGTTTCCAGGGTGGATAAAAATCAACTATTTAAAAAAAAAAAAAAAAAAATCAGATTTTTTTTTCTTTTTAATGAATTGCATTTTTTTTAAGATGCTTTAAAAAAAAAACAAAAAACCCTAAATAAAGATGATTTAAGCTATGTTAAAGCTCAAAGATATCATGGAATAGGGATTATAACTTCCAAATATACTATTTGAGACAATATTGCTGGATAAAGTGTATGAGGGAGAAATTGAACAGTGTGCAAAAAGTCTCGAGGGGAAAAAATTGTTAACCTGTCTTGCTGGGTGGAGCAATGTCACACAAGCACATATTACTGGATCATTGTGGACAACAGAAGAAAGGACTGTCTACAGAAACAACTGAAACATCAGGAAATCCACACACAGCAGAGTACTTGCAAGAAGTAGCAGTAAAAGCTATAACAAACTGTTGGGGGAGGGATTCAAATCTCTAGTATACAGCTTTGTCACAGACAATGCTGCAAATATATCAAAGATGAGAAGAAATCTAGAAGAAAGCCCCAAGCTAATAACATATGGCTACAGCACTCATTTGATGCACCTTTTAGCCAAAGACTTCAGTGCTCCAGAAATAAAGGCTAATGTTGTTGAAATTGCAAAATAACTTCCATAACAACCACTTTGCAGCAGCTGCTCTGAAAAAAAAAACAAAAAACCAGGAGGAGCCAAACTAACTCTCCCACAAGACATGCAATGGAACTCAGTAGTGGACTGTTTTGAGTGATTTATATTGAGAACTGGCCTAATCTGATGACAATTTGTGAATAAAACCATGACTAAATAGATGGAACTGTCATAGCCAATGCTCTCAACATTGAGAAATGTAGAATGTGTGCTGACTATCCTGAAGCCTCTTTCTATAGCCTTGAACAAAGCTCAGAGATATGGCTGTTTTACTGCTGATGCTGTTGAAATTTGGAAGGAAATGAGTGAGACCTCAGAAAAAAGAAATATAATGATGGAGTTAAATTACAGGCACTAAAAAAACAAAATGGAGCAAGCACTATCTCCAGCTCACTTCCTTGGCATTAGTCTCAATACTTGGTACCAGGGTCAATCCCTAACTGTTGAAAGAAGAGGAGTTGGCTATGACATGGGCATCCAGCAATCATCCCTTTATAATACCAGTTACAATAAATTTCAGGGCTAAGGGTGAACCATTCAAGAAATGTTTGCTGATGAGGTTTTAACTGAACTGATGGAAGTCAATTAAGCACCTTAATCCATCAGAGACTATCAAAGTAATAATCCACCCTTTAACAGCAGTAGCTTCTTCTGCAGGTAGCAACATAATATTTTCTTCCTTTGGGCTAATTCATTCTAAATTTGAGAAATCGTTTAAGAACTGAAAAAGGAGGAAAGCTTGTCTTTCTTCTCCAGTTCATGAATAAACAGGAAGAGGAAGGTAAAGAGTGAGCTTGCTGCATAACCCAGTATTTTAAATTTCTCATATTGATCTGTCTGAAATAATCCATTTAATTTTTGTTAAAAACACATTTCACATAATTAAAATAGTTAAAGCTTACAAAATGCATATGCTTGTTTTGTTAAAATAAAATAATTATACATGTTTGTTGAAGAAAAATATCCAAAATACATAAGCTTATTATTTTAGTTTAAATAAAACAATTTAAATGTCATAATTCCGTTTTCTCCTGTAGCTGCAAAATTAATCTGAAAAAAATCAAAATAAATCATCGCTTTAAAATGTATAGGGTGTACCTTTTAAAAATGAAATGTACATCTATTTTTGAGTTGTGAATAATATGTATTAAGGTTATATCAACCAACAAGAATGCACTTTCTGTAGAAAACAGTGATTTAAATTGAGGCTTCCTGACCAGTGATTTAAATCATGATTTAAATTGGTTTGATTTTAAATCAAATCCACCCTGTTTGCTTCCCTACTTTTTTGAGACCATTAGTCTGCTAACGCCACTTGACATGAGTATCTTCTCCACATACACAAAGTTAGAGAGTGTCCTTTGAAAGCCATTCGCACCCCCTCCAACCATTGCATTGGCTGTACAACTTTTACACAAACTGAACTTCCAGTACTAAAAATCCTCCTAGGTTTCCAGTTTCAGAACACAAGGGAGACTTTAGAATGTTTGAGTGAACAGAAAGAAGTGCATCATTTGATTTTTAAAGTAGGATCTTGCTTATAAGCAAAACACCACTGCTGCTTGCATACAAGTCTAATTACAGTATTTTCAATATATTGGGGTGTGGGAAATGTTGTGACCAGGGCTGACAGGGGGCAAATGGAGCAAAGGTTCTCTAGAAATCATGCCTTCAGAAATCAACTTGCAGTTTTTGAACATTTAACCTCATCTAGAGAATACTGAGAAGTTGCCAGATCCTGTCTGCATTTACTTAAAATCCTTAAAATCCTTTTCTTATACCCAGGTTTCTCTGCAGACTGCAAGTTTACTCCCACAGGAATTTCAGTGCCAAGTGACCTCAACACACATAGCTTTCTGAATCCAAACCATCAGCAACCTTCCTGCCAAAGGAGATCGATGTCTATAGGGAGTGCCCTGAAAAGCAAGGAGCATGTAAGTCCCCAACATGGGCCTGCAGCACCAGTTCCAGTCTTTGCTATCACAAGCTAGGAATAAAATGGGTTATTGGTTGTGCTGAGGCTTACAGCTTGATTTATGACACAAAAAGTGACTTATGAAGTAGAACAGGGGAGGGGCAATGGTGCTCCCCAAACTATAATTCAGACTTTTATACTTACTAGGCCTGTGTGAATAGGCAGCTTTTCGATTCAGCTTCAGATGCCAGCGATCCGATTCAGAGCTCCGAATAGGTTTCCTGCTTCAATTCAGCTAAAGCTTCGGAGCCGCTTCAGAGATCCGGCCATAGGGCATAATGGGGAATCAATGAAATATCTATAACTTTGTTGTTTTTTATCTGATTTGGATGAAACTTGCAGAGTTGGTAGCCTCTGTGGAGAGCATGAAGCCTGCCAAAATTGAAGAAGATGGGTGCAGGGGTTTGGGGGAAACTGCACCCCAAATTCTTGAAAGCAAAACTCATGTCACTTGTATGTGTTATATCACAGCAGGGTGAAAACTGCAGGGGTGGTCACCCCTGCTGAGGCCACAGTCTGCCAAGTTTCAAGGAGATAAGTTCAGGGAGAGTCTGGCTTCTGGGGCCCTGCACCTCTGGCTGCTAACAGGCAAAACTTGTGACATAGATGATCCTGTGTGTGTTAAGGCGCAGCGGGGTGAAAACTGCAGGCCTGCTAGCCTCTGCTGTGGTCATGAAGCCTGCCAGCTGTTAAGGAGTAGTGTGCAGGGGGGTTCTGGAGCCTTTCACCCCTAGCTGCTGACAGGCAAAACTCGTGACATGGGTGCTCATGCAACTGACCGTCTCTGTCTTGGGGCAGTTGACTGTCTGCATTGATTCTTTCCTCTCCTTAGTTTGTGGTTTTGTAGGTGTTAATCTTTGCTTGTTAGCTTGTTACATTAGCTAGCTGCTGTGTATTGAGCTGGTCCCAGAGTGAATCATGATTGATTTTTTGGTAACTGGTAACACAGTAGCTTAGCAGTTAGGCCTGCAGTGCTTCCCTCCACAGCACCTGCCCACAGGCACCCAGCTCCGGGGGGCATCGCAGCTGCAGAGGAAAACACCGGGCCCCTGTGCAGCTCATGCAGGCAGGCTCCGGGGGGAGGAAAAAAACCAAAAGATCAGGCTCACTGCTTTTTTTTTTTCCCCCACCCCTTCTGTGAAACCTGCCTTCACAGGCTGCGGCCAGTCTGCCTGCACAGCCCCTAAGCTGCATAGAGCCCAGTGCTTCCCTCTGCGGCTGTAGGGTAGGAAACTAAAACTCCTTGGAGGTGTTTTACTTTGCATTGCCCCAAAGTCATTTGTTGCATCCCAAAGTCATTTAAGGTGCACTATGCCGCCGCCAAATGTGCAAACAGCACCTTTAAAGCAGTGCAAAAGGCATTTAACCCACTTTAAAGCCACTTTAAAGTATCATCTACAAATGCCCAGAAGCCTCTGGTTGTGACAAACCAAAGGATGGTCTTTGCATAGGAATGGGGAGGGTGGGAGGCAGGGAATAGAGATGTTGGTGTTGCATGAAGCTGTAAAGGGTAGTTCTTACAAGGTAATTTGGAGCATGGTTCATCTTTTGCAGAGAATCCTGGCAGAACTGAATTTGAGGAGAGATGCATTAAATGGTTGGGGCAGTTAACGTTCCAGGGTTGTCTCCGTCACTTTGGTGTAAAGTTCAGTTCTGTTTTAAAGTAACTTGATAGCCTCCTGGCACTTTTGCTGATGTGTTAATTCTTAGTTGTTTGCCTAGGAGAGAGAGAATTCTACAAAGTGGCCATTGCCAACTATTACTGATCTGATTGGAACCCGATATGCCATGATGGCATCTGAAATGGAGATTGCTTTCCAAAGATATGGTTGCAGTATATCTTCAAGAGCCAAGGTATGTAGCATTCTCCTTCAGCATACTGTCCTTTTTGAAAGGTCCTTGCTAGGCACCCATGTCTGCATGATGCTTTTGGGTTGGGGTGGGGGAGCCTCCTGTAACAGTTTCCTTCCACAATCTAATTGTGGTATTCATGACCTTGAATCCTCTTCTTTCGTATCACACATGTCCATCTCCAACACTGTTTGTATGCACCCCTACCTTCCTTCCATCTTTTCTGAAGTTGTTGACTGTTAACATTTTTTTTTCTTCTTAACTACTGCAGCTTTGTTTTCCCCATGCTCTAGTCCAGTGGTTCTCAACCTTTTTTTTTTTTTTTTTTTTTTCTCTCTGTACCAGAACCCATTTGTAAACAGTGATGGCCAGCCCTGGCCCAGTGCCCCTCATTCCTGATACAGTGTTTGGGGTGGGGAGGAGGGAGGCAACCAGCCCCTTGCAAGCTGAAACTTTGTTAGCCTGCAAGGGAAAACCCATGGTTTCTCATGGGTTTTTTCTCCTTTAAAGGAGAATTCATTTTTAAAGTTTTGTTTATGACCCTAACATATATTGTTATGACCCACAGGTTGAGAAACGCTGCTCTAGTCCCCTAGGTTTCAGGCCTGTGGTGTAATATCACTTCACATTAGCTGTGTATTCATGTTGATCTGTGTATTCGTGCTGTCCTTTCATTGAATTCAAGAGACTCGGCATCTTCTGTAGGGCTCATAATTCCCTTCAGGATCACATTTAAGTTTGCCCTGACTTATCTTAATTGGCTTGGAATTGTTCTAGTCCATGCTTCAAAGATTGTCTCCATTCTCCTGCTAGCCTTGCCCTGTCCTCCTCACTGGCTACCTTTTATTCTTTTGCACTTTGTTCAGTCAAGAGCCTTCATTACAGCTCTTCCTGCCTGGATCAGCCTCCCCAAGTCTCTGCATTGTAAACACTTCAATTTTTAAATCTTATAGAAAAAACTTCTTGCCTATAGATCATAACTCCTGTGCCTCTGCTATCCTTTATCTGAACTCTGTTTCTCTGTGTAGATCTAAAGCTGTCAGAGGACTGGCTTACATGGAAAATGCTTTGTACTGTCAACATACATAGCTTGCCAAAGTATCTTTCCATTGGCATTCATGGATAATTCTTCTGTCTAGGTCTGTTTCAGTTGCCATAAGCAGATGTTCTTTAAATGGCCTTACAGCTGTCATCTCTGTAGCAGGTAAGCTGGGTATGAAAGGGTTTGGGGTGAAGAGGAAGGGTCAAAAGACTTTGATGAATAATTTAGCTTTCAAACAATTGCAGCAATCTGATAAGAACAGGCTGTTTAGCCCTTTTAAGTTTGCAAACAGAGTGAAGCACTGTTATAACTGTTATGGTTATGGGTGAAGGAAAAATTCATCTTTTAAATACTCTCTAAACTTCTTGACTTCTGAAATTCATGAACAATAACCAAACAAATGTACTACACAAGTAGCATACTTGTTCCCTCTTAGCAATAAGCATCTCTAGTCTGGAGACCAGCCTTGGCCACAAAGGCTGGATTTGAACTTCCTCAGATTCTAAAGTAGAGTTGGAGTGTTGTAGCTGTGATATAGTCCAGTATGGGTATGGAAGATGAGGATTTTTTTGTGTGTGATTTATCTTTTATTGAACTAACTACATATTTGGGAAGGGCGGTTGAACAGGCTTTCAGACTTCCAGTGCCCCTCTTCCAGTCACAACAGTCTCGCACCTTCTACCAAAAAACCCTGATGGTACAATCCAACAGAAGGAGAAAGTGGAACCAATTGTCAACACAAGAGCCACCCTACAGATAGCATGCTAACAACATATGGGAGAATCGGGACAGTACCAATTGGAACAATATCATTAACTGACCTAATGAATGGTGCTTGATACTTGATAGCATTTCCATCAGGTCTCTCAACTACACAGTTGGTCCTCTGTAAGATATCACAAAAAATCCTTGTCCTCAAGGTCTCAGCACAGAACATCACTTGATCTTGCTTCAAATGTTTAGGATCTGCAGCCTGATGAATCATGAATATAGGCTTGTGACCTGCAAAGTGTATAAGGTGTGTCTTGGTCATTTTTAAGATGCATTTTGTTTCGGGCAGATGCAGCCCACTTAAACTGGGGTCATCTGCGGGTGTCAACACTTGGTGACTTGTTTGGCTAGTCATGAGAGAGAAATACTGGATTAGGAATATTGCATATTTGTGGCAAACAGTGAGCATGTCTACAGACTGAAGTTTTGCATGCACCCAGTATAAAGATGTATATTTGTAAACAGAAAGCTAACTACCTCTCTCTGATTGATTGATTGCTAACAGTAAACGAACAGGAAAGTTCTATAATTTGCTTATCTCAGGCTTGATTTGTTATTTAAAAAAAAAAAAACGTTTCTGAGTTTTTATTCTGAGTTTTCTGGGGGTGGGGAGAGGGGGAGAAAAACAACATTCCTGTCTTTGCATGTAACATAAATCTCCTGAACCTTATTTGGGTAATAACACTATGTGTGTGTTTTGGTTCTTTCTTAGTGTTATCTGCTGTGACTGCTGCATCAAGGTACATCTCTCGTGTGACTCCCCTGTGACATATCCACTATTAAACATTTTCTTTCTCCTGCTGTGTCTGTTTTTATATTAGTCTTTAAACTGTTTTCCACCCTGCCTCTAAGCAAATGGAATGAGCTTTTTTCACAAGATTTCAAAACAATAACAGAATCTGTCTATAGACCAAACAGCATGAGACCTCATGGTCCAGTAGATAAAGGACCTAGGGTTAGCCACTAATTTGCTGTGAATTTGAACAAATTGCTTCAGGATTCTTTTTCTCATTACGATGGAGATGATGATACCCCACCCACCTTTTGTAAAGTGCCGGGTAGTCACTGGATAGAGTATTTATTGCAATGAACCTCCCAACCTTTGAACAATGGAAGTGTCCACCTTTTAATGATGTAGTAACAAGCCAGTCATACATTAAGTAAACTCTCACAAAGACATGCTAGCTTTCTTTAAAAAGACATGAAAGAGCCATTCTCTTGATCAGGGATGGGCAAAATATGGCCTGTGGGCTCTGGCCTACAGAGCAGCTTTGTCCAGCCCATGGTGGGTCCCTTGATCCCACCATGGACTTTCCTGCCATCCTCTGGGCACGCAGTGGGGCTGAGACGGCTCTGCAGCTGGACTGCCTTCCTAGGCAGCCCGGGTGGCAGTGGCTTCTTCTGGCTGCTGCCACTGCTGGCCCCAGCCCCACAGATTACAGCTGTGTGAGCTAGTCCCAGCGTGCCCTGTGACTACTCCAGACTTGCCCGTCCAGGCTGAGCAGCAGCAGCAATGGTGGCCAGACAGAAACTGTTGCTCAGCCTGGGGGAAAAGCCACCCCTTCCCCTTGTCGCTGCCAGGCAGTTCTTGGTGCAGCCACCTGGAGCCCACACCATGTCGGGCTGCCCTGAACTTCCATCACTGCTGCCCTGAGGCTGCTCTGCACTGTCTCTGCTCAGTGAGCAGCTCAGAGACGGTGGTAATGGAGACGCAGGGCAGCTTGGCGTGGTGCGGGCTCCAGGTGGCTGCAGTGAGCACCGCCCAGAAGTGGCAAGGGGGAGGAGCTGCTTTTCCCCTGTGCTGAACAGCAGTTTCTGCCTGGCTGCCACCACTTCTGCTGAGCCTAGATGGGCAAGTCCAGAGCAGGTGCAGGACATGCTGGGTCGGGGCTGTGCACGCTAGTAGCCGCTGGTACTGTGGGGCTGGGGCCAGCAGCAGCTGGAAGGAACCACTGCCACTGAGCTGCCTAGAAAGGCAGTCCAGCCACAGAGCTGCCCCAGCACTGCTGTGTGCCCAGGGGCAGCAAGACGTGCCACAGCCAGGCAGTGCAGAGCAGGCACAGGGCAGTGCTGGGGCTGTTGGCAGTGTTGAGGAGACACTGCAGGGCACACAGGTTCTGGGCTGCGGTGGGGCAGAGATGGGTGCTGACTGGCTCAGGGGGGCATGCACAGGGGCTCACATACACACCTCATCATACTCACAACCACACTCTTCCCCCACACACCCGTGTATCTCTGGGGGAGTCCCATGCACTGCTACATGCACCTCC